AGATCACGACATTACTTAATTGTTTTGTTTTCTGTCTACTGTGTTAAATCCACGGTTGGTTGGTTTCCCTCCAGGGAAAACGGACCTTCGGCCTCTTTTTATACCTCCGGTTGGTTTCCCTCAAGGGGAAACGGACCTTCGGCCTCCTTCTATACGTCCCCGTCTCCTTCTCTTTCTGGATGGTCTACGGGGTTATCTCGCCGGTATCACCTATAGGCTGTAGCGCTTCGACATGTCTTTTAGGGTGTCGGGGTAAAGCGTATGGTACGCAGTAGGAGCAATGATGTCTATGTATGGACCATCGGCATGGGGACGCTTCGTCGTGTGTAGAATTTGCTACATTTTCTAGCCTTGAGACATTCAATGCCATCTCGTTTCACACTTTCTAGCCAATGCTTGCTGTGTGCGTTTTGCTGGCTGTTGTCGGGAAAGCTGACAGTTTTGGAAGTGTCTTTTTTGGATTTCCCGTGATGATGATGTTGATGGGAAGATGAGGTCCTTCGCATGTGAAGCGCGTTTCTACTGCTTTGTGCCGTACGTATGTTTTCCAGGGCCACTTTGCAGGTCGCTTTGTGGTCAGCCAGAACCTGTAGCTCTTGTAGCTCTGATAGAAATACGGACTGCACTGGGAGATGGCATGCATGGTGACGCCCATGTTGCAGGTGGCTTTGTGGTCAGCCAGCACCTGGAGCTCTAATAGAAGTACGGACTGGCCTAGGAGAGCATATGCAAGCTGCTGATGCAGCTGCCATGGACGACGGTCGGAGACCTACCATCTCTGCTTCAGAATGCTCTGTGGCAGACACGGACGAACAAATCGTGGACTATGCTTGCAAATAACCTGCAAGAATAAGAATGGAGTTATCGAGCGGAGTGGGAGACTCGGGACTTATCTGCCAGTTCTCCCTCCGAGTCTCCCGGGCTGATTCCTTCCTGCACTTTCTGCTCCGTCTTCCCGCTGCACTGCCGTATATCCATCCCTCTTCTTCCCCTTGTTCCTTGTCATCCTCACCGTCATCAATGCATTCATTGTCAGATCTCCCATAATGGATACCTCTTTACACAGACGTTCCCCTTCTCTGCCGCCTTGACCGGTAACCTTGTCTGTATGTGCATATTGCGACCGTTGCACCTCGGGTAGGGTGCAGAGACCTGCTCTGCTGCCATGCACGCAATAACAGGAAGTGATGTTGCTGCTCTCGAAATGCACGCGGGCATAAGAAAGTACACATAGAGTCCTACGTCCACAAGGTGCTTGTGGAGCCATAGGAGTCATAGCAGCCTGTAGTGCCTGGTAGTCACTCCAGGGACTGAAATGCACCTCCCCCGTCCGTGTGATATGTGGAGCCTATTGATCTCATAGTGCCATGGCAAGGGCAGTACTGGTATGCGGTACTAATGCATGTTTTCTTGCTTATAATCACAATGTTATTCTCTTTGAGAATTCGGCTGGGAAGACGACTGTGGTGTGGCTGGTCTGAATACGGAAGTTTTGTCTATGACCGTCAAGGGAATGTGACTGGAGCTACAGCCTGCCCCTCAGAATAATACATCTCACATGGATTTGGGTATCTGTGTGTATGCCCTCTGTCGTCCAGGCCACTCAGGGTCATAACCTTTTTGCGGATCATCCGTGGTGTGTGGGAAAGTGGCTGGGCATGGCACTATCATGAATAGGCCGAGTCCCACTCAATCTGGCAGGTTAAATCGGGTTCCAGGACCCAACCTTCCAAGGAGGTGAAGCTCTCTCTCCTCCGGCAGGCAGTTTGACCTATCCTATGGCCTCCGTTGCATCTGATCACGACGTGATACCCTTCAGAGGGCCGTCAGTTTGCCATGCCATTCTGCACTCTGATTGCCATGAAGCGATGATCAGTGATAGCCTGTGCCATCAGAGCTGTGTTGCGTCGTCGTGTTTGTCTTCTGCGTATGCTTAGTAACTGCCCAGTGTGCTGCGCCGGTCTTGACATGCCTTTTGGGGACACAGGCAGTCTGCTTTCATTTTGGCATGCTAACAAAATACTTGCGTCACATATATTTTCGAGGAAGCTGGCACATAAAGTATGTCTCTGTTGCGTAGGCTGTCCTTGATGGCACTATGGACTGCACCATCCTTGCTCATGTTCAATGTTGAACTCCGGCTGCACCTGTGCCGGATCTCCTCCAGCTGCACGGACATTGAACTGCATCCTCAGCACTTGAAGATTGAATACAGCAGCCTGAGGTGTAAAACAGACCTTTCTTAGCGATCTACAGTGCAATACTGAAAGGTTGTCATCCCCAGGGTGAGCAATAGCAGAGTAATTCTGCAAGAGCTGAACATTCCGACCTTGGATCCATCCCTCTCATTAACTGTGAGCAACAGCAGGTTCATTCTGCAAGAGAAGGGCTGGAATTGCAGTGCCAAGATGACTGCAACCATTGCACCTCTGTATTATCTGGGATACTAGTCTGTGCCATGCCGTTTGACACAATGACTGTAGAATGCAGTGCTATCATTGCAGTGCTATCATTGCACCTCTGTATTACCCAGGATACCTGTCTCGCCATGCCATTCGACACAGTGACTGTAGAATGCAGTGCTGCTATTCCCCAACGGATCTTCCACGGTCAGTAGGCTGCTCAATAGGCAATACCCGCTTCTCCATTTTTCTGTGCACCCAGCCCTTGAGTGGCCACTGTGTTTTGTGTCTCTCTATGGCAATTTGTTGAACTCGTTTCCTGTCTTTTCCGTTCCCTTTACTCCCTTCCTCTTCTCCCTTTGATTTTAATGTCCCCTCTTTACTTTTGTATGTCCTTTTCTTCGTCCCGTTTCCTTGTACTCGGTTTACTCATTTCATACAGTTATCCCCTTGCAGATCTCTCATTTGGAAGCGGGTTACGGTTCTGACATGCCAGATTGTTAGCTTTGACATGTCACTATCGCAAGCTCTTGGATAAATTCGATTGGAAGAGAAGAAAGAACCAGCCAATTGAATTGAAGCTGTAGTCACTGGATGTTGTGGGCGGATCTGTGAGGTTTGCAGTGTAGAAGGGACGCAAATGGGCTCTATTTTATGGAAGACATGGCGTGGGCGGGGCAGGGAAGGGCGGGGATGGGTGGGGGAATGCTGTCCTCCCGTCACATACAGGGGAATGCAGTCCTGGTCTCACATGCAGATCTCATGGCTAGGCCTAAACACATCCTTACATTTTTTTGCTTCTGATGCATCGCCTGGGATTTTGGGTTATGTTCTGAGTGCAGTAACCCTGTTCAGAAGTAGCCTGGGGCTCAGAATTCTGCCCCAGGAAACGCAGACCTGGGTTGGTCTGTGCTGGGATGTGTGACCAAGACACGCCCAGGCCTGAGTCTGTTGAGTGAGGCTGTGTGACCGAGCGCTGCACGCAGGAAATTCAAGAGTCAAGTCAACCGTAGAGTCAAAGGTACCGCACCCAGGCCCTTGGTTGGATACACTCACTTGTTGTGTGCAGGTACCCAGACAGCATCCAGGGCGGGAGGAGTACAGTTTCAGATCAATCTGGACCCTTGTTCGCATTGAGATCTGGACGGCTGAGGCATACAGCATCCGGGGTCCAGACCCCGCGTCAACACCACATAAGAGCTGACTTCCTGGCTTTGACGGGCATTCAGTCTTGCGTCAATGCAGATTTCACGCGTTGACTTGACGCTGGTGCGACGCTGTGACACTGGCTGGACGCTGGCTCTATGCTGGCATATGAGGAGAGACGGAGACACGCTGCTGGCTGGCATAGTGGCTGGCTGGTAATTGTCTTCTTGGCATGCTGATGTGGCAGCTGCCACGTGCCGCTGCTGACGTGGCTGCTGCCACATGTACTCTGATGTGGTGGGACTACGTGATTGATAGTGTGGTTCTGATTCATCGTCACTTCGGAAGGAGATCAAGACTGGGGTTATTGTGGATACGTACCTGGTATCTTGATGTCGACATTCTCCAGTTCGCTGATGAGGACAGGCTGACGTGCCACGTGGCACATTGAGAGAGAACTTCGGATTTGTGTTTGGGTTATTGATTACTGAGGTGGTGAGAGAGGAGGGAGCCCGAAGCAGGAGTGGGCATTGTTGAGTTCTCCCCTCTTAGTCTATTCTCCCCTCTCTCTCCTTCGTCTGTGTATGATTTCCCATCTCATTCTATCTGGACACAATTACGATTATTGACATTCATCAGCAGGTTGATATCTATATGGGCTGGCATTGTTGACAAGTGTCTTCACGAACTGGGTTCATTGCACTGAGAGCTTGTGGCATGGATGGCGGGGTCTGAGCATGGCTTGTGGTGTGGCATGAAGATCATGATATCGGCTGACATGACCCTGCTTTTCTCCTGCCTGTTTGGAGAGATGGTATGCACTCATGCACACTTCTTGGTGCGAGTGTGTTTTTAGTGGACGGACACGTGTGGACCCCTGCTCAACCACACACATTTCGTGAGTGCACCTTGTGCTTCAATTTTTTGTTGATTTCGGAGAATGAAATGATGGTTCTCTTTGTTGTTTTTTCGATAACAGACATACACAGTACTACACACATACATGCATGTGTGTCAATGTGTAAAGTGTTTCTGGTCTTTTATTGTATCCCTATGAACTTGGATGAAGAGTATGTGAACACTTTTGCCTGTTTGGTAATGTTCTTGAATATGAACTTTTGAGTGAAGTTTGTAAGGAAGTTGTATCTGAAAAGTTTTCTATTGCTCTTTGTGTTTTGTGTTTTGTAACCAAGAGTTGTTCCCCACGCATCTGAAATGTCATTTCTGCTGACATTGAAATGCAGTTTTTGATGGAGTTGGGGCTTTTCTTTCCGCATCTTTGGTGCTGTTCCCCGTTTTTTCATTTGTTGCCTACATCTTTTGTCGTTCCTCATGTTGGACGGGTGCCTGATGACACTCGCAATGGCGTGCCTCCTTCATGTTGTGTCGTTTTTTGCAAAACACTGAACTAAAAAATGTCCTGGTGCTGTGTGTGCCTTTCAACTGTTCCAGATGCGGCATCAGCACAACCATGTTGCACTGCATGTTGCACAACTGTCTGCAGCACCTTCCCTGGGTGGAGATGACAGTGAGGAAGTCATTCAGCAAAAACTCCACGAATATGCATCGCAGCAGGAACGGATGCGGCAGTACGAAGTGGAATTGCGTGCACAAATGCTTGCACGGTCTGAGGTGGCACGGACACAATCAGCTTATGATGAGCAGATCAAACGCTGCTCTGATCTCGAGGGGCAATTGCAGGTTTGTGTAGTGTAATGACATCGACCCCATCTGTAGTTTGACAGTTGTGTCCTACCATATGTGTGCCAGTGTCTGTCTTATCTACACTCTGTCTCTGCCCATGCTCATTTGTTTGTAGACCTGCCATGCGTGGCTGTCTTTCTGTCCATCATAATCAGAACTGCTGGGAGCGAAATGCATGCTGGCATTGCTCTGTGCGTATTTCAGTGAATGGTTGTGCTATGCGTGCACATCTTGGTGGTTGTTGTTTTGCCTGACACTGTAATCACACCACTGTAAGACACGGTTAACCGTTTCACTACACCGCAGTAGGACAGTGCAGCACACATACATTTGAAATGTGATCACATTGCAGTGCGAGGAGTGGTTGGGGAGTTTGAAGGGGGGCTTGTCGAGTGGAAAGGGTTTTGGGGGGCGATTGGGGGATGTCACAGGTTCAATCAAATTGACCCTCAGTTACGGGCACTGATGTGAACAGGTTATTGCAAACCTTGCATTCTAAATTCCAGAAACTCGTTTGTGAGCATACACTGTAAAACATGATGGTATTAACCAGAAACAAATGCCCACCTGGCTGCCAGTGTGCAGCACATGGGGAGCGGGCTGGTTAAGTTTTTGGAATTAAAGAACAGCTATATGACAGAATGCTGATGTTAGACATAAAAGCACTGGATTCGAACAAAAGCACTGGATTCGAACAAAAGCACTGGATTCGAACAATTGCAGTTCCGCGGCCTGTGACCAGCAGACGCTCAGGGGCCTCTGTTTCATTGCCATGAGACGACCCACATTGGCCTCTGATCGTTTTCACTTGTCGACGTTGTAACACAGGGTCCAGATTGCGAATTGATCGTCTTGGAAATGATCAGTCATGCTGGCCTGGTAATGTGCTGCGCAGGCCTGGTACCTCACGAGGCCAGTTTTTGACGGCACTGCTCGAGGCACTGCCTTGGCACTGCGTGCAGCACGGGGCTGGTACTCCGCGTGGGCAATTTTGGGCTGGTACACTGGTTCACCGTGCACTCCTGATGAGTTGGTGGAAGTCCATTGAAAGTCTGGCTTAGACATGCTTATTTTGTGGAGTTGTGTTTTGTGAACATGAAAACACAACCGCACCCACACGGAACACAAACTCACACGACACAAAGACATACACCAACCCAGCACACACACAGACACACTACATTTTGGGGCAATGTCAGTGAGGAATTGTTGTTGCCAAGCTCTTTTACTTGTTGGAGGTTGAGCTATGCATCCTAAGGGTTGGTCGGTGAGGCTTGAGGTGTGCATTCCGTCGAGGCTTTCGGACGGAAGTAATGAGTTTGAGCACACGCGAGTATGTGTGTGTGTGTGTGTGTGTGTGTGTGTGTGTGAGAGAGAGAGAGAGAGAGAGAGAGAGAGAGAGAGAGAGCTCAACGATGACCTTCCTATGGCGCTCAACACACACACACACACACACACACACACAGACTTTGAGGTGCTGTCCATGAACTGATCTTCTTTGCCTATTGTATGAAAAGCTCGCAATATGGCTGGCTGTTTTGTTGCAAATGGTAGATGCCGAGCAGATTGGATTTTGGATCCTTCGTTCATATGACCTGCTTGATAACAATGACACTCTTATGATTCAAGGCACCTTCCTACAACTCCCCCGAGCGACTTCCAATCACTCATGGCCCACCAAACTGGAACTTGCATACACAAGGGTGGTGTAAGTCTAGTACTATTGTCTGGGATACGGTGATCTCCGGGTGATGTGGAGAGTCCTTATCCATTAGTCAGATGCATCCTGGGCAGAGGGTAAGGGTTTAACCTTATCCACGAGTTGGTAAAAGTCCGATGAAACAGTCGGGCACAGTCATACTTTTTCTGTGGAGTTGTTTATAGTGAACATGGAAGAACACACAAAGAGATGCACACACACAGGTGGCTTTGACTGACTTGCTGTCATCATAAACCCCCCACCAAAATAACAAAGGTTAGAAGGAACCCTTGACCTGCAAAGCATTGCGATCTCTTGAGATCCGAAAACGAATATGCTTGTTACACACACCGAGGGGAAGTGGTGCCGATGACGTAGTGGGTGTGAAATTATATTTGACAGGATAGGTCGGGTGCTATCCGACTGCCTCACTTTACCACACCTCATGCTCTCTAATTTCGTATGCAAAAGTGTCTTTTGTTTTTGAGGGCGGAGCCACAACGTGTAAGCTAGTTTACTGACTTCCCAAAACAGGGGCTTAGTTCACCTTCTACAGTGTAGTCACTGGAAGATATTTGTGAAAAACTACGTGGGAAGCCTTTTGGGTCTGGGATGTTCAAAAGCCTTTCGTATTTGTATACTGTGATTCATCTATTCAGGTGCGCTACCTGCTCATGGCTAGATCACCTGGTTGCCGGTCAAATTGATGTCGCTATCGACAATTTCATTACGTCTGCACCCAAGTATACCTCAGCCTGGAGGTGCGACACTGTGCACCAAGCTTTTCCGAACAGCCAGCTTCGCACTTTTGTTCTTTTTTGTGGTCCGATAGCCCCACCCCCAGAAAGTTTGGAGTAGGCAATTCGTGATTTTCTCCAAGGACGAGCTTTTGTGTTATGAACCTGGGTGTTTGTTGTCAGAAGACCAGCACTCGCTCACATAGACTTCCAGGTATGCCCATACACAGAAAGAAAGGGAGAAGATGGGAGTATCACACCGCACAGGAGAGATAAACACAGCGGAAGACTTGTCCATGCGATATGACAGAAACACTGAGAGTGCAACCGGCTCCACAGAATCCTCACAACCAGTCACAAAGGACAGCCGAGTAGATCACATCCAGGAAACAATGAAGCAATGGTAGTTCATACACAGTATTTGCACTGTTTATTAGTCTCGAAATGTCAGAATAACCCCAGAACCATGGTGTGCTGCTCAGAAATGAGCAGGGCTTTACTACCCAATGCTGAGTAACCACTATTACTACCCCTGAGTCCCTGAAACAAGCAGCGCCACCCAGATACTGCCTTCAGAGGGAAGCGCCACCCTGAAACATACCTCTGAGGCCATGTGCCTCTCAGAGGATGAAGAAGAAGACCAGCGCCACAGAATCTGATGATGATGAAGTGCCGGAAGACTTCCCGGGCGGAAGTCTGCAGCAGCGCCACCTCTCCTGACAAAGATGATCTTTGAGGAAGAAAGCTGCAGCTATGGCTGCAGCGCCACACACCCTGATACCCTACTCCTGAGGAGGGTTCAGCAGGGCAGAAACTTCTCTGATCTCCAGCAGACTTCAGATAGCCTGGACCTCTGAACAGCCCCGCGTGCTGTCAGAGAACTGCGCAGGTCCCAGCTATGGCCAACGCTTCGCAGGTCCGGCTATGTCTGTCTTCTTCAACGCTGAAGCTGTACCACTCCAGTTCATGCGTTGCACAGCGCGATGTACACAGTACCAACTGCCAAAAGCCCTGAACCGATTCCTACAATCTGTTAATAGGACTACACTACCCTAGCCTAGACCTAGACCTCCTGAGGAGGGTTCAGCAGGGCAGCAACTTCTCTGATCTCCAGCAGACTTCAGATAGCCTGGACCTGTTATGACCCTGGCCAATTTTGAGATACACATCCACCGGAAAGTACAATGCCATCCAATTGCAGAAAGAAATGAATGAACTTGAGAGGAGAGAGAGAGGATTAGGAGAAGAAAAAGTAAGAAAGAAGAAGAAAAAGATGTACACCAGCAAAGACAATGACAAGGCTCTTCTTCTTCGCCAAACAATCTCCTCCTCCTTATCTCCCCCTTCTCTTATTCATACAAGAAATAATAATACAATGTTGAATGACTGAACCAGAATCAATGTCCGAGTCCCTCTTCTACTGCAGGTATCACTCAAGGTCCMCCATAGCCATGGCCGCCTCTCCCACTCTTCACTCTCATAGGCCGAGGCTATGGCAGACTACTGGGCTCGGCTTAGATGTCCAAAGGACAACCCAAAGCAGCTATGGCTGCTCTAGCTAAGGCCGCCATGCCTGACCCTGCCCCGAAGCTTCTTGGTCTAGCTCCCCTCGGCTGGGGACTCTCTGCTGCAGCGCCCACCAAGGTGATGAAGATGGCTGCCACCATAGCCAGGTAAGTACCCCTGGTGCTCCTCCCCCCCCCTTCTTCCTCCTGCCTCCCTCGTGTCCTTCTCCTTCCTCCCCAGCAGCGTTGCTCCAGCTTAGCGCTGCTCCAGCCAGCGCTCCACCAGTGTGTCGCCAAACTTGCACACCGAAAAAGAGGCCGGGTCTTCCGCCCGGCCTGAAGATATAGCGGCCTGCTTTGCCTCTTGGGCGGTGACTTCCAGGCCGCTGGCCTTCCCAAGCAACCGGTACCTCCTCTTTTGGAGGGAAACATCATTGCAGACTCTGATATTGCCCCTACAGGCCCTAGACTCAGACTGGTACCCGCTAGACCTAGCCTACACTACCGGCCTCTAAAAATGCCACTTTTGTCTTCTTCTGCTCGGCCTCCGGTACCTGCATATTCACCCCCCTGCCGGGTGCGGTACCGGCCTCCCCCGCTGCAACCCTTCAAGCCACGGCCACAGGTAAGTACCGGCCCTGAGGGCCGAACGAACGAACAATTGCCCTGGCGGGCCACACACACACTCATACCAACCAGCACTCAGACAGGCACAGTCACACGCACGCAAGCCAACCAGCACTCATACAGACATGCAGTCCAGCGAGCACACACACACACACAGACTTAGTAGGCAGGAATTCAGTAGGGCATTCAGTCTATGAGCAAAACTCAGAAATCAGCTGTGTGTTTCAGTCCATGTTTGGATGGGTTATCACAGGACCTCTGAACAGCCCCGCGTGCTGTCAGAGAACTGCGCAGGTCCCAGCTGTGGCCAACGCTTTGCAGGTCCGGCTTCTGTCTTCTTCAACGCTGAAGCTGTAGCACTCCAGTTCATGCGTTGCACAGCGCGATGTACAGAGTACCAACTGCCAAAAGCCCTGAACCGATTCCTACAATCTATTAATAGGACTACACTACCCTAGCCTAGACCTAGACCGGACTGACTGGACCGACCGGCACTGCTTCAGTTTTGGCCTCTAGGGCCTCTCCCTACCCGACTATAGGCTATAGGACCATCTATCAGCGTAGGCCTTAGGGCCTGTCTGTCCTAGGGGCAGCCCGGGCCTGCTATTCGCAGTTAGGGTAGCTGTACGAAATTCCAGTTAGTGCGGGTCTATATTTCCCCCAAATTTACAGTTTTGTCCCTCACGAATTTTCCTTACAGGCAGGTCTCTCGGTTAGCCCTCAGCCAAACAAAATTACAAATCTAACCTACCTATGTCACAGCCTCGGGCCGATGGGTCACAGGTGTCAGAACCAGCAAGCACATTGCATGTGCACTGGCTGTTTAATCTTGCGGTATTAGTCTACTCACTTACCCATTATGCAAAAGGTACACCGTTAGCCTTTGACTGGTATTGCTGCAAATAAGAATCGTGGTAAGCGTAATTTTAGGCATCTCCAGCTGTTTTCACAAACAACCTAGCTACTAACCCTCAAGTTCAAGAGCCTGGTCGTGCCGGGAACAAGAGCACTTGTGTCCAGCATGTCTTGCTCCACATCGTGCCTGGAGAGGCCTGCCTGGTGTTCGGAACATCGATTTCTCCTGGTCTCATTGCTCCGGTGAACGACTTGTCCCGATCCACAGCGCTAAACTCTTGAAAACCAATTAGCAAATGCATGTATGATGATTTCAATACATGGCTTACCTGTTTCCCATGTTTTGCATGGTGGAGTCTGTTTAGTTTGAAATCAAGTTGACTTGGGGAATATGGTAAACACTGCAGACTTAAAATCTATTCCTACAGGTTGCCTTTCCAAGTCCGATAGATGTCACTATCCATATGGAAAAGCCCATTTGTAGATGCTTGTCTGTTGAAAGAGCACTTGAGTGTGACTCGCCAGAGTTGGGAATTTGGTCTTGTAGATCTTGAATTTCGCCTAAATTTTGCCAATGACTGTGAATAAGTTTAGAACGGACAATGTTTTGTTGCTTTACAGATCTGCACTCGTTGAGCAGGATTCCACATTACAGAATCGATCCCTAAACCAGTATTCTTGTTTGTTCTGTTCTGTCTTGTCTTGATGCAAAGTGTTCCACCAGTTCAGTCAAGTTGGTACATTGATACGTGTTTTATGGCATGCAGTCTTAACGTCGCTGTCCTGATGCTGCCAATGGCCGCCCTTGCTTGTCAAGCTTCCTGCTTGGGTTCGAAACCTCCCAGAGGCTGCACAACAAGAAAAATGACCGAAACGAATTACTTCTGGCCAGGGAGCAATCCTGATGACAAAAACCACCACAAGAAAGACAGTCACCACAAGTAAGAGGCTTTGTGCCCAAAGTTTCCATTGGTTTCAGTTTGAAGTCCTCTGAGTGCATTCATAGTCATCATAGAATTGAGAAAAGAATTCAGAGTGAATGTCGGGGAAGAAAAGGGTAAAAGAGGCAAAAAAAAGAAGAAGAAAAAAAAGAATTCAGAGTGAATGCAATAACCTTTATGACTGCACAGCCAAAAATGAAATTCGGAGTCTTCGGACAGTGCCGTGGAAAAATCTGCAGTCAATGTTGCTTTCTGCCTGTCATTCTCCCAATGTCAGGGATTTAGGGTTTGGAAGCTCTCCTCGTTGGTTGCCTGATGCTGGTACATGAATGCAATGTTCCTCTCAGCATTTGTCAAGCCATCTATCCTGTAGGGTGCATACACTGCCTTCAATCTTCCAAGGCATATCAACTAAATATGACGTGCAGAACCTTCTAGTGCTCGTACTATTTTGGTAGCAGTTTCTCCGAGTTTCGTTCTTCGAGTGAGAACTTACCACTGCTCACTCGTGAACATTTCCCACTCCCACAAAAATGGTGGAGGGCCTCCGCGATGGCAAGAGATAAATGGCTGTGCACATGGCCATTTGGAGAATGCAGGTCACACAGTGACTAGGTGAAGTGATCTCTCTTGTGGCCGTTTCACTAGTGCCGCTGGGCCGGGTGCAGGGCAGATTCAATTCAATGCTAGTGCACCGATGTCAACGCTCTGACCTAGAACATGGCCGAGCATGTAGCCAATTTCAATTGGCTGCTTCTTCAGGCATTATTCCTGTGTTGCAGGGGCCCTTGGGGCGAGCCGTGTGTGTGTGTGTGTGTGNGAGAGAGAGAGAGAGAGAGAGAGAGAGAGAGAGAGAGAGAGAGAGAGAGGTGGTGATCACTCTGTAATCCATCACTGTACTTCCTCACTGTCTCTCTCCTCTCCCCTCCGCGACCCTGGACCAGTGTCTGTTCCCCCTGGCATATGAATGCATGTATCCAGGCGCACAAGTTGATTGCCATGCATGTGGCATGCTGGCATGCTCTTTTTCTCGTGTTTGTGTTCCTTTCCCGGCAAAGTCCCAAGCAGCCGTGTGTTGTTTCTAAAATCGTCCAGCCCCAGCTTGGCACTAACTTGTAAGATCACTGTCTGCGAATGTGTACTGACCATGTAGGACGTAGGATAGACCCTGTGTTGTGTGATCAGTGCCTACAAACGTGTCCTGATGACGTAACATGTAGGGGATAGACAATGCGGTTTTGCTCTTAAGGATGCATATGGAAGCTGGCATTAATTGAGATTGTCTGCTCATAAGGATTACTGTCTGTGCCGTGTTGTAGACGCTGCTCATCATATTGATAAGAATAGTGGTTTCCCTGTGCACAGGCAGTAAGGAGTCAGTTGCAGGAGAAGGAAGAGCAGATCCAGCAGCTACAGCAACAAGTTCAACAGCTTCGAGAGACGCAAATGCAGACTAATGAGGCGGTATGTAGCGATGTTGTCAAATAAGGTCCTCCTCTGTCAAATCAGGAAGGTCGTCCTTTGTCAAATCAGGAAGCACAACAAAGTGATGATGTGTATTCAGTGGCATGCAACGATGAGGTGGTTGAATGGGAGCCACCGTTTTTTCCTAATTGATGGTTGAGTTGAAAAAATTCTCCTTCGAATCGTGTGTAATCATCTTAGCAGGGATTTCATGTTTTCTGTGAATGTTCTACTCGGATATGTGGTCTTCATTTCTCTGCTTGGGTCAATTGATTGTCTACCTACATTATGGTTTCTAGTTGGGTGTATGCATGTGGAAAATTCCTGGCTATGGTGATGGCCAGTGGTGCAAACAGTGCTGAATTTGATATTTTAGAGGGGATCAGAAGGAATGTTTTTTTTTTTTAATGTGAGGACTTGCATTGATCTTAGGGTAAGTGGAATGGAATCCATGGAATCTGTACCCCGGTCCTATCGTTCCAACCAGAAATGGTGCTGAAGGTCAGTTGAATGCTGTGTCTCTGTCATGGTCATCAGAGTTGCACACAGTGATTTGGTGATTTGGTGTTAGGGATGACACTTCATTTGAGCACCAAGAACGTCCGACTTGAGACACGTGCATGTGAATTGCAGAGAAGGTGCCAGCATATCTCACAACCATCGCCAACTCAATGAGTGGATAGAATGCAGGGAAGCAAGAGAAGAAGATAGCCAAGGTATTGACATAATTCATGCAGTTGCCAGCTCCTGAACTTGTGCCCCATCCTGTACAGGCACTACTTGAATTTTATGATGGAAGCTCAGATCCTCTTCTGCTCGGCCATGCCGTCTAAGTGAGGTAAACAACCACAAAAAAAACTAAAATTCCTACAACAGAATGATAAGAGCCAAAACTACTGAGTGCATTTCATCCGGCATAAGCGTCTGGATAATCCGGAATACGGAGTGGCATTCCCGCAAGATCTCAGAAATGCTTTGGAAAGAAAGTCAAAATTTACACCAAAGAAAGTAGTCCAAAAATGAATGTGACCCAAGGTTTCTTTATATTCAGGTGCCTCATCAGATATTTCTCTCCTCCTGGCGCCTGACCAGAGGAGACCTAAGGTTTCTGGTTATTCAGACATCTCATCAGATATTTCTCTCCTTCTGCCTCTTGAGGATTGCCAATCTGGCCTACACTCGGTGGGCGTCCACCACGGCCTGGAAGTGGAGTCAATTGGCACACTAACAGGCTATCAGTGCAGCTACAAATGTAACTAAAAATTGGCCCTCACCTCTATGTCCAGGGAAGCATCATGATGGGTCAATGAATACATAAATACCACTGAAGAAATCCGAGGCCTGTAGTGGTACATGGGAAGAACGGGTGTGGCAGGGCATGGAATTTTGAGTGAGCGGACTTTGAAGGTTTTCCATGCTCACAACATAAAAACATAAACTTCGAAGTTCGATGGCTAAATACATGGYAATCAAATCATAAGATGAGATCATGAAAAGCATACTACAAGGAGATAATAGAATTAACACCATAGATTCAAAAGCATTCAAAGTTTCTTTTTCGAAATAATCAAAACACATCAAAATGGTCCTGGCAGTACCAAACAATAAAAAGATTTTACAAAAATATGTAAAATTATCTATGATTAGATTATTGTAAAACAGATTAGCAGTGGTTAAAGGATTGCATATCATTCCAATAATCAAAACTAGAATAAATTGAATATTATGAATACAAGTGGACCCGCCGCAGCCACGCTGCGGCAGAGGAGAGGGACGAACAGGGGGACGGGGCTGTTGTTGTTACACTGCTGTTTTTTTTTCTTAATTTTTTTTTTTGTCGTCATATTCGCTATACACTCAAGAAAAACATGACCGTGGCAGACTGTTTCCTCTCTCTCTCTCTCTCTCGTCCCATCGATGGAAGTAGGCTCTCTCTGTCTGCGTGCATGGATGGAAAACACTCTCTCTCTGTTTCTCTCTCTTTCTCTCTCTCTCTCTCTCTTTCTCTCTCTCTTTGTGTGTGACACTTTTTTTTTTCGAGGTGCTGTTTGGTACCCTCTCTCTCTCTGTCTCTCTCTCTCTCCATGTTGTAGTGGTAGATTGGTTTGATTCTGTCTGCATGCATGGCTGGAAAACACTCTCTCTCTTTCTCTCTCTCTCTCTCTCTGTGACACATCTCTCTCTCTTTTTTCCTCTCTCTCTCTCTCTCTCCATGTTGTGGTGGTAGATTGTTTCGATTCTGTGTGCGTGCATGTCTGGAAAACACACACACTCTCTCTTTCTCTCTCCCTCTCTCTCTCTCTCTCTCTCTTTCTTTGTGACACGCACACGCGCCCGCACTCGCCCAGGGGAACACTTTTTTTTTCCGAGGTGCTGTTTGGTACCCTTTCACTCTCTCTCTCTCTCTGTGACACACACACACGCGCACACCCCCAGGTGAACACTTTTTTTTTTCGAGGTGCTGTTTGGTACCCTCTCTCTCTCTCTCACACACACACACACGCACACACAGATGTCTAGCAGTGTATATTTCGAAGTAGCAGAAGAATCGATCAATTTTGCCGATCTGATTGACGGAAGTAGCGCGTCTCTCTCTCTCCCCCCCCACATGTTCTAGTGGTAGATTGGTACGATATTGGTTCCCCCGATTTGTCTTCCCCTCGCTGCGCTTCTCGCCCCACCCTCCGCCTCTGCACCCTGATCCGACTTCCTCCCTCGTGTCCTCCTCTACCGTGCAACCTCCTCCCCCCCATCTCCCCACCCCCCCTATCTCGACGCCCCTTTGCCCCTCCCCCTATTGTGCCCCGACCTCCCGCTCCTGATCCGGCTCCCGCGCCTCCCCACTTTGGCGCCCCCACCCCCACTACCCC